TCTAGTGGTGGACATAAGATGCAGCCTGCCCTCTAGTGGTGGACATAAGATGTAACCCGCCCTCTAGTGGTAGACATAAGATGCAGCCTGCCCTCTAGTGGTGGACATAAGATGCAGCCTGCCCTCTAGTGGTGGACATAAGATGCAGCCTGCCCTCTAGTGGTGGACATAAGATGCAGTCTGCCCTCTAGTGGTGGACATAAGAAGCAGCCCATTCACTGCTCGTGGCGAAATAAATTGGCGTGCTATTCAGTTATACTCAGTCTGCGCTTGGCGCCTCATAGTGGTGAGCAGGCTGGATAAGCAGCAATGCTATTGTTATGGGTCGTAAAAAAACTGTCTACAGCCAATATTTATACCATAGTAGGGACTGGTGGAACCCCAGATGGTGTGTGTGTGTGTGTGTGGGGGGATAGTGAACCACGCTGTTGCTGGCGCCACGCAGGCAGTGATCGGTTACCTATGTCTGGCACATGACGTCTACACGTCACACTTACGTCAGCGTCGTTAACAAACACGCTGGGTTTCTTGTTTATCATGTAGTTCCACATCTGCTTATACGTGTCTATCTTGCTATCCTGGAGAGCAAAGAAAAAAAACCAACATGCCTCGTAAACCACGAACTCACCACCAGACACACGCTTAGACTGGTTCCCCGTCCCCACGGCACATCGGCAATGGTACTGTGAGTTACGCACAGGGAGCCAGTCTACCGGACACACTCAGACTGGTTCCATGTCCATGTAATGTGTTTCCATCAGACACTCATTCACAGTTTGAGGTCAAACACTCACCCTGGAGGTCAAACACTCACACTAGAAGGTCAAGCACTCACACTAGAAGGTCAAACACTCATGATAGAAAGACAAATACTCACACTAGAAGGTCAAACACTCACCCTGGATATTAAACACTCTCACTAGAAGGTCAAACACTCTCACTAGAAGATCAAATACTCAGCCTTGAAATCAAACACTCACACTAGAAGGTCAAACACTCTCACTTGAAGATCAAATACTCAACCTTGAAGTCAAACACTCACACTAGAAGGTCAAACACCTACACTCACGGTAAAACACCTACACTTAAGGTCAACCCTCTACACTTAAGGTCAAACACCTACACTCAAGGTCAAACACCTATACTTAAGGTCAAACCTCTACACTTAAGGTCAACCCTCTACACTCACAGTCAAACCTCTACACTTAAGGTCAAACACCTACATGCACGGTAAAACACCTACACTTAAGGTCAAACACCTACTCAAGGTCAAACAGACCACGGTCACTCACCTACACTCAAGGTCAAACCTCTACACTTAAGGTCAGACACCTACACTCAAGGTCAAACCTCTACACTTAAGGTCAAACACCTACACTTAAGGTCAAACCTCCACACTTAAGGTCAAACACCTACACTCAAGGTCAAACACCTACACTCAAGGTCAAACACCTACAATCACAGTCAAACACCTACACTTAAGGTCAAACACCTACACTCAAGGTCAAACACCTACACTCAAGGTCAAACACCTACAATCACAGTCGAAGGTCAAACCACGGTCACTCACCTACACTCAAGGTCAAACACCTACACTTAAGGTCAAACACCTACACTTAAGGTCAAACCTCTACCCTCAAGGTCACCACGAACACTCACCCTGAAGAACAGCATGGTGGATCCACCGCTCAGCGTGCCGTACGATATCTCCGTCTGCTCCGCCAGGTCCTCAGCGCCCTCTATCGGTGAAACCATCCGCTCCACCGTCAGGAACGCCGCGAGGTTAGCCGTGTAGCTGCGCATCAAACGATGACGTCATCACGTCAAACGATGACGTCGTCACGACAAACGATGACGTCGCCACGACAAATAATGACGTTATCACGACAAATGATGATGTTATCACGACAAATGATGACACCGCATCTAATGCGCACACGTATCTATTAATGACGTCATCACGACAAATGATGACACCGCATCTAATGCGCACACGTATCTATTAATGACGTCATCACGACAAATGATGACACCGCATCTAATGCGCACACGTATCTATTAATGACGTCATCACGACAAATGATGACACCGCATCTAATGCGCACACGTATCTATTAATGACGTCATCACCACGTCTATATAAAAATAACATCATTACAATCTACAATGATAGCCCTCATCGACAGCGATCAACAACCCTCAGAGGAGTCCTAACTTGCTATGCTTTGCTATGGTGACATCAGAGGACAAATCGCGACACCTCATATATATAAAGCACGCAACTAACGATGACGTAATTGTTCATCTAGATCACCGCATCTAAAGTGCCGTCAACCCAAGACGACGACGCGTCGCCGTCGGTGACGTCACCGTAACAGACGTTGACATCGTCCTCGNAGATAACGAGAGCGGCGGCCCGGAAGGAGGAGGGGGAGGAGGAAGCGGGATGTTTCCCCTGGGATGCGGCGGCGTGCACGCGACGTTACCATGGTTACCTGGAGATGATGATGAGGGTAAAGAACCACCAGACGCCTCCAACGATGCGAGTGGATACTGCACGCGGGTTGATGTCTGAGCCTAGAGAGTGGAGAGAGAGAGAGAGCAAGCAAGCAAGCAAGCAAGCAGGCAAGCAGGCAAGCAGGGAGGCAGGGAGGCAGGGAGGCAAGTGCAGCTCACACGCACACACACGCGCACACACGCACGCGCACGCACGCACTCACTCACCCATGCATGCACACACACACGCGCACGCACGCGCACGCACGCACTCACTCACCCATGCATGCACGCACGCACGCACGCACGCACTCACTCACTCACCAGCGCACGCGAGCGAGTGGCGCACCGGCACGGCACGCTCAGGCATGGCACTCAGCTCAACGCGTGTCCGAGGGCAGGCGGCAGCGGCACTCACTCACGGCATGCATGCACGCACGGCAGGCATGCATGCAGCGCAGCAGGCCGCGGCAGCGCACTTGCACTCAGGCATGCATGCACGCAGGGCGGGGCAGGGCAGCGCGATCTGCACTCACCACGGCATGCAGCGGCAGCGCACCGCATGGGGCCATCGCACGGGCACGGCAGGCCATCACAGCGGCACTCACTGAGCACGGGGCAGTGCGCCACGCAGCGGCACGCAGACGCAGCGCACGGTCGAGCGCGGCGGGCACGGCACTCTGGGACGCACCCGGGCAAGGGGCACGGGCACGGCCAGGGTAGCGGGCCTATGCACGCCGCACGCACGAGGTGCACTGCAACGCTACGCACGCAGATCAGGCTGATGGCTGGTTAGAGAGCAATGCACAGCACTCATGTATGCTCCAGTGTATATATATAGTATATTATATGTGGTTATATATGATAGTATGTTTGATATACTATATACTATGATATCTATGTATATATTATATACTGTGTTAATCATATATAATATATATGTTTTATATATATATTATAATGTAGTATATATAGTATGTTTATATATTATATATACCTGTTATATTATATATGTTTATATATATGAGTCATTATGTTTTATATATTATAGGTTATCATGTTATATATATGTATATAGTGTTTTATATATATCTAGTATGTATATATAATATAATGTTTATGATATATATATATATATATATATATACTTGCGGGTATGTTTATATATAGTAGTAGTATATATGTTTATATAGTATATGTTTATATATCTATAACGTATAATAATATATATTATATGTTTAGATATAGTATTATTATATATATATATATATATATAGTGTCTTATATATACTAGGTATAGTAGTATTTAGTATATATAATGTGTTTATATATCATATAGTATGATCGTGTTTATATATATACTAGCTATAGGCACGATCTTATCTATTCTTTTTGAGGCAGCAGGTAGTTAGTACAAATAATTAGCTCCCAGAAGTAATGCATGTCGTTAATTACGTAGTGTTATTTAGTTAATACTGTAAACTCCTTTTTTTTTCGTGGGGTTCAAATTTGCGGCTGGATTCGTGGGGTCCATGCAATGCGCACAATTTTATTGTACCCAACGAAATATTATGTTACATATGTGCATTGCTGGTCGGGGAGATGGAGGCCCGCGAATTTAAGACGGCCACGAACATGTATTTTTTATTGAAAGGGCCACGAAAAATTGGAGAGCGCGGCACAAAAATAAGTGACTTCACCGTACGAGCATATTTAGTAGCATAAGTTGCTAGTAGCATGAATAATTAGTAGCATAGAACATTAGTAGAATAGGTAGTTAGTAGAATGGGTAGTTTTTGTCATAGATAGTTAGTAGTGTAAATAGTAAGCAGTATAAGTAGTTAGTAGAATAAATAGTTAGTAGCATACGTAGTTAGTAGTATGGGCAGTTAGTATAGGGGTCAGGGGATCACAAAGTCACAGTCATGGGGTCACAATGTGATGGGGTAAGAGGATGACAGGTCACAGTGTCACAAGGTCATTGGGTCACGGGATCATGGGGTCACATGATGAAGACATGGGGTCACATGAGATCAGGGGTCAGGGGGTCATGGGTACACAGGAGCATAGATGGGGTCGTGGGTTCAGGTGTGTGGAGGAACGACATAGAAGGTGACGTGTGTCGCCAGTCTATACTGTATGCGTGGATTCTAAGACATATGGCAATAATAGATATATGATAATAAATATTGATATTATATGTGATAACAATATATGTAATATAATATATATTATAATATAATAAAAATAATAACAATAATATATGATCTAATAATATATAATAATACAAAACATGTTTGTGTAATGTATAATATACAGGAAAGTAAGACAGAAGGTGGGAAAGCTAGGAGCGAAAGAGAAGAGGGTGACAGAGTTAGAGCTTAGCACTAAAAGTCAGTAGGATGTCGGAGAAAGACGGAGAATGACTGAGGAATGTGTTATAAAAGTATAGTAAGGATGGTTTAGGGAAGAGAGGGGAAGCAGGAGAATGATGGTGCGGATGCTGCGTTGCCATGACTACCTTGTTGCATCAGGGTTCCTATTGTGAACCAGAAGCTGTTGGAGAGGGTAAACTGATTCTCAACTACGTCAGAGTCTACGTCACACGGATGGCTGTTGTACCACTCATAGGGAGAAAACCTGCAACACAATATATACGTGTATATATTATATATATATATATATATATAACAAATACTCTCACACATTCATACACACTGCATGTGGCAGTTGGTAGATACATACACACGGATGGCTGTTATACCACTCATAGGGAGAAAACCTGCAACACAATATACACACACACACATATATATATATATATATATGTATATATGTATGTATGTGTATATATAATTATATATATGTATATATGTATGTGTATATATATACAACTACTAACTAGTTTGTCAGGAACAGGTATGGTTAAATGCCTACCTGTTGATTGCTTTTTTGGGTGATTGTTCACGTGTTGATTGCTTACCCGGATGAGCATTTAACTGGTTGATTACTTACCTGTTAGATTGTTTACCTGCTGTGATTACCTACCTGCTGGTTGCATACCTGCTGATTGCATACCTGTATGTAATCCTACATGCTAATTGCATACCTGTATGTAATCCTACCTACTGATTGCATACCTGTAATCCTACCTACTGATTGCATACCTGTAAGCCTACCTGCTAATTGCATACCTGTAAGCCTACCTGCTGATTACTTACCTGCTAATTGCATACCTGTAAGCCTACCTGCTGATTACTTACCTGCTAATTGCATACCTGTAAGTCTACCTACTGATTTCATACCTGTAAGCCTACCTGCTAATTGCTTACCTGGCTAGGATGAAGAGAGAGAAGCTGACAACTACGTAGGCCGTCAGCACGTACAGCCAGATGTCGACGGATAGAGGGTTCATGAAGGAGAACAATCCCGGCTGCTCTCCCTTCGGCACGCGGAACAAGATGCTGATACCGAGCGTCATGTAGGGCTTCGTGAAATCGATCACCTCCTCCCGCTTGTAGTTGATCGTCAGCGGCGACACCGCCAGGTCCGCCTCCTGCAACGCCACCTGGTGTTAGCTGCGCGAACTAGCGCGGGCGACTGCAGCAGCTTAAATATGCAAGGGTTTGTATGGGTGTATAGAGAGACAGAGGGAGAGAGAGAGAGAGGAGAGACAGAGGGAGAGAGAGATAAAGAGAGATAAAGAGAGAGAGAGAGAGACATCTATGTGGAATATACCGGTGTGGAAATGTGTGTAGAGATCAATTATATACGCCGAGTAAATCGTTGATTTTAATGCATTAGTGGCGCCGTCATTAACAATGATGCAACAGTGGTGCCCTCGTTAACAATGATGCAACAGTGGTGCCCTCGTTAACAATGATGCAACAGTGGTGCCCTCGTTAACAATGATGCAACAGTGGTGCCCTCGTTAACGATGATGCAGCAGTGGCGCCCTCACCCCGCGGATAAGTTCTCCGACCATGCCGGTCCAGTCTTGCGGATCCTCCTTCTTAGGAGCTCCGTACATGCCATCCTTAACCTTGTTCACCTGCAATCATCAGCATATATATATATAGTAACATTAGAATTATATATATATA